GAGGAGAAGATTGAAGGATGATCCTCACCCTGCTATTTCCAGATGCTACATCTAGCAGTGCTGACCAGACAATATCCTGGGCTACAACTGTGGGACAGGAGGAGTGAGCACACAACAAGTGACTGTGGTACTGGTACAGGAGGGAGCAAGAGCATTTTTAGGACAGTGGGAGTCAGAGTCCTATCAATTTGGAACTATGCCCTGAAAACATCAAAGACCAAGTGGAAAGAAGCATATGTACAAAAGTATTCATAGCATCTCATTTTGTGCTAGCAAAGAATAGGAAATTAAGGGGATACCTAGCAACTGAGAAATGGATGAACAAATTAGGTATATGAATGTAACAGAAGACTATCGTGTCTTAAGAAATGATGAAAGTGTTAATTTCAGTCAACCTGGGAAATTTAGCAAGAACTGAGGCAGAGTGAACTCTGAACCCTTTGCCAAAGTAATGTCAACTCACTAGACCTCTGTTTCCCCAAACATCATCTATAAAGAGAGGCGGGAGAGTGGGAAATATTTAACTAGTTTAAGATAACGGTGTTGAAAGAACACACTGCATTTAAAAAACACACTCACTTCACTCCAGCTAAGGACATCTTATGTTGTTGTTCAGTCATGACTCTTCATGACTCTATTTGAGGTTTTCTTGGCAAAGACACTGGAGTGATTTCCCATTAACTTCTCCAGCTTATTTTACAGCTGAGGAACTGAGGCAAACAGAGTGAATTGACTTTTCTAGGCTCACACAGCTAATAAGTGTCTCAAGCCAGATCTGAATTCTGGAAGATAAGTCTATGTGATTCCCAGCCCACAGCTCTATAACAAACAGAAAGCTATAATAACCAAAGTCTTTCTAGACATCTAGTAGATGCATGCCCAAACATTATGCACGGTATCTGCCAACCCAAACAGAGAAAAATGGTGGCAAGGGTCACATTAAGCAAGAAAAGATACATAGATGTGAAAAGTGTCACAAATGCATTTTCCACCTATTTTAAAACATCATTAAGAAACATAGGATATGCATATTTAGCTAAGTAAAGTAAGGAAGAAGAATATAGTGGGGAAAGCACTGAATTGGAGTCAGGATACCTGGATCCTGAAATTAGTAAATTATGTGGCCTGGGGCAGGTCACATCACTTTTCTGGACTTCACTTTTTTCTCATCTATAAAATGAAAACATTGGACCAGATGATTTGTAAAATCCCTTCCAGCTCAAAATTCTGTCATTCTGAGACCAACAAAACATAAATCTAGCAGACATAGCAAAAATGGTCATGTAGAATATTGGAAGCCTGGTCACCATGTAATCTTTTCCTTTCCAGATCCCCCAACAAGTGGTGACTTTCCCCAAAAGTTACTCTGCATGTACTTTGTATATACTTACAGGATCAGAGATTTAGAGCTGGAAGAGACCTCAGTTAGACCATCTACTCCAATCTCCTCATTTTATGAATAAGAAAACTGAGGTCCAGAGAGATTGTGACTTGACCAAGTTCACTCAGATGAGTGACAGAGTTAGGATATGAACCCAGATCCTCTTTTTGTTCTACTCATTGTGCCACTTTGGCATCCTATATTTATGTAAGTTCATGTTGTCTTGTACTTATAAAATATGCACTGAACTTATGGATGGGCAGTTGTCTACTTAATAGAATAGAAGCCCCTTGAGCAGAGGGAATATTTCCATTTTGATTTTGTACCACTAACACCTAGCACAGTGCTTGGATATAGGAGACTGGACTACCAATTGTTCAGTGTGTTATAGTGGGAATTCTGGTAGTGTAGATTAGACTACACAGGCATTGAAGTCCCTTTGAACTCAAATTTTGTGATTCTGAGAAATGCTTAATTAATATTTAATTGACTGATTGATTCCTAACCTCAAGTTTTCCATATCATCCATTGAATTTTTTTCTAGGGTGACATACTCATCTGATCATGGGGCAATAAGAACTATTAATTTCATACCATCATTATGTGGTAGCACATGTTTTTTCTAATATTGCTGAGACTAGAGGAAGTTTTCTAATGTTAAATGATAATTAAATAGTCCAAGTTGAAGTAGATGGATGCTATGATCCCTTCCAAGTTTTAGGAGGGAAGCAAAAACTGGGAAAGAATTTTTGCAATAAATGTCTCTGATAAAGGCCTCATTTCATAAATATATAGAGAACTGAGTCAAATTTATAAGAATATAAGTCATTCCCCAATTGGAAAATGGTCAAAGGATATGAACAGGCAATTTTCAGAGGAAGAAACTGAAGCTATTTATAGTTATGTGAAAAAATGTTCTAAATCACTATTGATTAGAAAAATGCAAATCAAAACAACTCTGAGATACCACATCACCTATCACATTGGCTAACATTACAAAACAGGACAATGATAAATGTTGGAGAAGATGTGGGGAAAATTGGAACAATAACACATTGTTAATGGAGTTGTGAACTTATCCAACCATTTTGGAGAGCAATTTGGAACTATGCCTAAAGGGCTATAAAATTGTACATACCTTTGACCCGGTAACACCATTTCTAGGTCTATATCTCAAAGAGATCATAAAAATGGGAAAAGGACTCACATGTACAAAAATATTTATAGTAACTCTTTTTGTGGTGGCAAAGAATTGGAAATTAAGGGGATGCCCATCAATTGGAGAATGGCTGAACAAGTTGTGGTATATGAATGTAAAGGTATACTATTGTGCTATAAGAAATGATGAGCAGGCAGACTTCAAAAAAATCTGGAAAGACTTACATGAACTGATGCAGAGTGAAATAAGCAGAACCAATAGAACATTGTACATGATAACAGCCACATTGTGTGATGACTGACTTTGATAGACTTGGCACTTCACAGCAATGCAAGGATCTAAGACAACTCCAAAAGTCTCATAATGGAAATTGCTAACCACACCCAGAGAAAGCACTGTGGAGTCTAAATACAAATGGAAGCATAATGTTTGCTCTCCTTTTCCTTTGTTGTTTTGTTTTATTGCTACATTCTTATGATTCCTCCCATTAGTGGTAATTGTTCTTTACATCATGACTAATGGGAAAATATGCTTAATATGAATGTGTAAGTAAAGCCTATATCAGATTGCACTCCATTTTGGGCAGATGGGGGTGGGGGAAGAGTAGTGGGAGAGGGAAAAAATTTAAAACTCAAAATCTAATGGAAGTGAATGTTGAAAACTAAAACAAAATAAATTATCCCAGAAAAGTACCAAAATGTCACAATACTAGTGTCTATGGATAAAGGACTTGCTTCCAGAAAATAACTGGAAGAGTAATTATTACCCTTTTTATTAGTATACAAAGAATTAGAGACCACTCAGTGTATTCTTTACTTGATGTTAACAGATATTGTTCAGCATATAGTTGTTAATAACAAGCTAGATTAATGTACTTCTAATGATAAGCCTTTAAAAAATACTTGTATCCCTGGAGGATGAGTACCTGAGGACATTACCTCTACATCTAGTGGTATGGACTACTTGATATTGTATCTCTGGACACTTTTTCCTTTAGAAGGCTACAAGATGAACGGGCAATGTAGAGTGGGCAGGCAACCTGGAGCTTGGACTTTCACTCATAAGGAATGGGATTTACCAGCTGAAGAATTCTATATATTCCAACTGAAAATCCTCAGGCAGATGCATAGTTGATTGGAATTAAATCCCTATAGTATCCCATTTACTACCTTAATTAAATCACTGTAATGTGTATGTCAAATAATTCCTTTCCCCAAATCCTGAAATAATCCGGCCTCCTTGACTTCATATTGTTACAAAGGCCATCTCCCCCATAAAATATATTCCTCACATTCTATCTAATTCACCTTCCTTATGCATAGATCAGGTCAATATTCAGCTCACTTTTTGTTTACTGAGTAAAGTTTGAACTCTCCTTCCTGACATTCAAAGCCTCTTTTCCTTTACAGGCTTTTCTCATATAAAGTTCCTCTCAATACTCTATACTTGAGTCAAATTGGACTACTCAAATGTGTCCTGTATTTTTTAACATACACACTTTTTAATTAGAGTAGGCAGGTGAAATACGTAATAGTAATGGTAGTAATGGTGGTAGTAGTGGTAGCAGCAGTGGTAGTAGTAGTAGTAGTAGTTGCCATTGTTGTAATAATAATAACAATACTTGCAGCTAATATTTATATAGAAATTATGATGTACCAGACAGTGTGCTAAATGCTGAATAATTCTAAACTCCTTTGATCGTCTCACAACAACGCTGGGAGATAAATGCTATGATTATGCCCATTTTACAAATATAGAAACTGAAGGAAATAGAGATGAAGTGACTTGTCCAAGGTCATATAGCCAGTAAATGTCTAAGATGGATTTTAACTCAGGTACTTCTAATTCCAGGTCCTACACTCTGTCCAAGGTACCACCTCACTGCCATCACATCCTGAGCTGTTAAGCTGCCATCAGAGTAGGATACATGTACATGTTGAAGTATATAACCTGAGACATTTAAGGAGTAGAAAAGAGATTGTTACCCATTGGTGGTGCATAACTGCACACAAATATGGGATAAAGGCCCTACCAACAAGAAGCTTAAGATCTAGTGAGGAACACAAGACAGGATCCACAAACATGTCTGAAAGAATACACGACATAAGACGGGTATGTAATTCAGGATCAAATTATGAATTACAGATAAGAGCTAAAGAGGTCACAGGGATATGGCATCTAAATTATGATGTGAAGGATGGGGAGGATTTCAATTAGTGCAGTTGAAGAGAAGAACAGAAATATTCCAGGAAGAGGGGATTTCTGGGAAACAGGGAATTGGGGAAAATTAACTCACGATTTTGGCAAAAGTCAAAGGGAGTATTAGATTATGCAAGAAGAGAATACTGGGTTGAGATCATAGAGGGCTTTCATTGCTAGGCAATGGAATGAATTCAACTTGTTCATAGCACATAAGAAGACTCTAGGGCAGTTGGAACCAGGGGTGGTCCTTCACCTGTTTTAGGAAGGTAGAAATCAGAGCTCATAGGAGGGGAGCAGTTTGGCAAACCCACTGGCAATTGGGGTGGTGTCGATATCTTTTGGGTCAATGGGAGATTTCAAGATAAAATTCTGTAAGATGGAAGTAAAAAATAGAAATAATTCCATTCGAGCCAGGCCCTCACCAGCACATATCCGTTTTCCTAAAAGAGACAAACACTAGGATTAGATATTCATAGACTTCTAACTCATTTAGACCACTTTTTTGGACTTAGAGGTGGCCCACTAACACCCAGGGGCATTAGATTAAAGACTGTATACATTCCTTTCCTCTCTGGTCCTTGACTCCTTTGAAAAGCCAGTTCCCCCTCAACAGAGAGGGAAGACCCCTCCTGTATACTCTCTCTAAATCAATCCCCCTGAACCAGAGCAAGTCCTAGGATTTATATTAGGAGGAAAGCAGGCATTGCTTTAGGGAGAAAATAATCACTCATTTATAATCTCAAGAACTAAACTTATGGCTACCCACAGAGACCGCACTGGGGAAAGGTGACAGAAGAATGATCAAAGTTCCCTTTGGAAACCACCTGTCATAGTTCTGGACAGAAAACACCTCTGGAGTCTACCCTACAACTTCATGGCCATCCAGTCACTTGTGCTAACTACTCACTCTTAGCCCTAACCCAAGCATTAGAACCAATTGAACAGGGCATGGAGCTGGAGACCACAATGTCAGGGATAGTTAGCTGCCTGACTGCATTCATGTCTGCCAGACCTAGACTTGGCTGTCACCACCATTACCTGATAACTAATAGGTTCCCCCAAGAATTGAAGGGGAAAGGACAAGACAGATCATCATCTATACTTTTGTACCAGTAGATCCCCATTAGAATGTACATAACTAGGAAAGGGAGTTCCATGTTTCCCAGTAAAGAGTCACATTTCTACAAAATCGTAAACTCTAAGATTACACCTTGGGTGACCTTAGCCATAATGGTACCTGAGTAATGAGCCTATAAGATTACCCAATCCCCTTTCTTTGCTTGATAAAGTACAAGATTATACCATGCTAACATAAAAGCCTGGAAGACATTATCTGAGAAGTAGCTCCAGGTTGAGGGAGACTGGGAAGATAGTTTTTAATGTGGGGGGTGAAGGAAACTTTAGTTGTGGGTCTGGATGCAGAATAGAGTGGCCACTATCTCAGTTCTACCTCTTTTTTGGAATAAGCTCAGACAACTACCCTGAAACCCAACTGATTTGGTTGATGAACCTTGGCGTAAGGAGAATTAGAAGAATGAGGGGCAGCTAGGTGACGCAGTTGAGAGAGTTCTAGCCTTGGAGTCAGGAGAACCTGAATTCAAATCTGGCCTCAGGCACTTGACACTTACTAGCTCTATGACCCTGGGCAAGTCAATTAACTTGACTGTCTCACCAAAAAGAAAAAAAAAAGAATAATATACTATGTCTCCATCCTACTTTCTGGTTTTAGAACTTAATAGGACCATAATGGTCAACTAATCCAACTCAATCTTTTGGCATATCAGTAAACTGAAGTCCAGAGAAATGAAATAATTTGACCAAGGTCACACAGGTAATAAGTAGCTAAACTGGATTGAAACACAGGTCTTCTAAGTTATCAACCCATCTTTGATGCACATGTTTAGATGAGTGTCTTACCTGCTGAAAAAGGCATGAAATAGTCGCTCTTCTTGAAGTTGCCACTTTCATCTAGGAAGTGACCTGGGTCAAACTGGTCTGGATTGGGGAACTCTTCATCATCATACAGAACAAAAGACAATACTGGTACTATGGTGGTACCCTGAAATAAGCAGATACAAACAAATAATTAGAAAATAAGAACCATAGACTGTTAGAACTGCAAGGAAACTCAGAACTATCATCTAGGCAAAACCCCTCATTTTCAAGTATGGAAAGAACCAACATTTTTTAAATGCCTGTGCTGATAGTAAATTAGAAAGTCCGTAATACTGCTGGGAGAGATGAAACTAAATTTTGATAACCTGAGGGGCAAAACCAGTATCAATGAGTAAAGGACACAAGGAGGCAGATCCTGGGTTAATAAAAGTTAATAAAATAAATTTTGACCATTAGATCTATCAAAGAAGGAAAGTACTGCCTGGCTAAATAATAAACACACCAAGTTCAAGCAGATGCCAGATGATCTAAAGAAGTAGAAATGAAATCTGACCTGTGGCAGGATGTTGAAGAATAAAATAATGTCACACAGAAGAATGAGGCAAGAGCTGATAAACAAATTGGGAACTCTTCTTGAAGATGAAGAAATTGGATGCTCTGGGTAAGAAGCCCTTGCTTGTACTCTAAAGAAAGGCAAAGTAGGTTCACGGCTATTAATTGGTAAAATATCCAGGAAGAAGAGAATAGTACTAGTTGGTGACTCCCTATATATAGAAGGACACTGAAACAGCTGTTTAATGACAATGACAACAATAGACAGATCTGTCATGTTCTCAGAGGACATATCAAAGGCAAAATGGAGAAACCTCCCAGACTTGTGAAAGGGGATGGCTACTAACCACCTCTGGTGATTCACAGGGGCAAAAACAATACTTCTATAAGGAACCTGGAACCATTTCCAAAGTTTTTGACATTCAGGACAAAAAAAAACTAAAAAAGTTAAGAGCACAGGTGGTGTATTCATTATGGCTGGATTTGGAAGCAAAAGATTCTGAAAGGAAAGGCAGACATCTTGTAAGATCATGTTTCAGATTGGGATTTGGATTTCTTGATCATATCTTCATTAAAATATAAGCATGATAGACTCCTAGTCAGGATTGGAATAATGCACCTAGCAAAGACTGGATGGATTTTTATTTTGATTTATTACAAATATAGTCAAAAGACTTTTTCAATGCTTAAAGTGTGGCTTAAAAAAAAAACCAAGATGGATTGGAGATTTTAAGACAAAGAAACAAATTTGACCTCAAAGTTATAAGTAGGACTTGGTAGGATGAGATGCTTAAACAAGACTGAAGTTCTGGAAAGAGTTTCTCTTGTTCTGAAGAAACGGGATAGGAAAGAGGTTGGGGTGGTGTATATTAAGAAGATAAACTCATGTGGGGCTAAGAAGATAAACTAAGATAAAATCATGTGAGAAAAGAAGAATGATGAAAAGCATCTAGGTAAAGAGAAATGGAGGCAGCATCAAGAGTGACATTGTCTTGAGAGCATTCAACAGGCCACATGGACAGAGAAGAAACAGACAAGGAAGAGAGAAGACAAATTATAAACCTGGTGCTGAGACATGATGTAGCAGTGATGGAAAACTTCAATTATTCCTTTGGATCCTTGAATTTCCTTTCTGTCAAAAACAAGGCAGTTCATAATTCTTTGACTTTTCTTAAGGATAATTTCATCCTGCAATTAGAGTGGAACCAAAAACAGGAAATTCTTTTATTGATCCAATTCTAACCATCTGAGAGGAACTTGAATAACGTAGACGTGAATACGAATCTGTAGAATCCGTAGGCACAACATTCTTCCTCTGAAGGGATCGTGCTCTGTTTTGGGGTATGCTATCACACTTGGCACACTTTCTGTGCACACCTATTTATGGTAATGGTGGGAATTTTTGAGAAAGTGACCAGTCCATCTTAGAGTTTGTAACAAAGGTAACTAAGTGGCCCAATGGATAAAGTCAGACAGACCTGCTCCGACCCCAAATACTCATTAGCTGTTTGACCACGGCCAAATCACTTACCCTTTCTCAGACTCAGTTCCCTCATGTGTAAAATGAGAATAATAACAATGCCTACATGTCAGGGTTGTTATGAGGATAAAAAGAGATAACATTTGTAAACTGCTTCACAATCCTTAATGCTAGCTATTATTATTATCACCAAGAAAGACAAGAATTGATTTCTGACAACACAAAGGAAATCAAAACTCACAATAAAAGATAAAGAAACATTTTCTAAAGATACCAATGTGGTAAGGTAGCCAGGTGGTACAGTGAGGAGACTGCTAGACCTGAAGTAAGGAAAACCTTAGTACAAATCCTGACTCACACACTTACTAGCTGCATGATCCTAGGAGAGCTAGCTGCTCTCTCTAAGACTTCATTTCCTCACCTGTAAAATGGGGATAATAATAACATCTACTCCCACAGAATTGTTGTAAAGATTAAATAAGATCATCTATGCAAACCAAATCTGAAAGAACTTTATAAAAATAGTTATTATTATTACAGGGAACTAACCAACCAACTTAGATTTTTCAAAGACAAGTTTGAGTAAAAGAAGCACGTCACAGTTTCATAAGAATGACAGAAGTGGTAAAGCCCAGAGTGAACAGAGGCTGGTGAGACTAACAAAGGGCAACAAGAAGGGGTTTTGAAAAACTATATTGTGGAAAAGAGATAAAAGATTAAAGAAAGGATAACTCCACAATTCAGAGGGTTATAGGATGAGGATGACAAGTGACAAGAAAAGACAGAACTTCTCCATTTTTCTTTTGCTTCTGGTCTTTTTTTTTTTACCAAAGGAATGAACTTTTAAATGAAATGGATAGAATTAATAAATATGGCTAATAGAGATTGAATACACCAGAGAAGTAAGGAGAAAATAAGGGAGCACCTAGACACCTGTGCAAGAAAAATAGAGTGAAGAGAATACACCTCAATTTATACTCAGAGTCTAGAATACATTTCTAAAGAATCATTAATCTAGATAAGGAAGGAATAAGGGAAATGACTCTAGATGAGGAGATAGTGGTCACAAAGATCTGGAGTGGAATCATCATTATTTCTTTTTTATTTTTGAGGATGTTAATAAACTGGTAGATCAGGAGAATGTTGTAGATAGGGTAGATAGGGTAGGATTTTAGCAAAGCATTTGATAAAGATTTTCATGTTCTTCCACTGAAAATGATAGAAATATACAGGTTAGACTATTACACAATTAATGGATTTAAAATGGATTGACTGACCACATACAAAGGGTAATTACTGAAGGTTCAGAGGCAGCTTAGAAGTAGACACTGCTGTACTCTCATCACCTCGCTCACAAACAAGGATTGTATTCCTTCTAGGAGTCATATTTTAGGAGGACATTGAAGAGCTGGAGGCAACCAGGGACAGCAAGCAGGATGGTAAGAATAACAAGTCCATGCCATGCGAGGATGGGTTGAAGGAAATGGGGATATTTAGACAAGAGAACAGAGGACATAATAGAACAGGAGACATAATAGCTGATTTCAAGTGTTTTTATGGATTTTTACTAGAAAGAGAGAATAACTTTGTTCTGTTTTGTTCCAGGGGACAAAACCAAGAGCAATAGATTAAAGTTATAAAATTGCAAATTTAAGCTTCACGCAAGAAAAAAAATTCCCTCAAATTAGGGCTGTCCAAGATTAGAATGGAATGCCACAACAAAAAGTGGTTCCACCTCATTGAAAGAATTTATAAGCAAAGATTGGATAACCACAATGTGAGCATACTGTAGATGGAATTCTTTTTCAGATTGGGGATGGAAATATGACCACTGAAATCCCTTCAAATTTGGAAATTCTGTGACCACTTCTCAGGGATGTGGGTTGGCCTGAGGTTCCTTCTAACTCTAAGATTTTATATTTCAATGGGAAAGAGAATAAAATCTCGTTATAGTGAGAAACACTTTTGACCTTGGGGATAAGATATTGTCTAAATTGAACATTTTCTGACACTGCATGGGGCAGGTTGGTTGGAACAAGGTCAATGTACCGCTGTATCTCGTGTACCACAGCATTGGTGTAAGGCATCTTGTTTCTGTCCTCCATGCAGGGACTTCTATCTCGGCCAATCACACAATCAATTTCTTCATGAAGTTTTCTTGTCACAATACAAATGAAAATTGATCTTAAAAGGAGGAACAAAAACTACCTTCTCTTATATTTTCTCTGATTTTTCCCTAAGAACTACATTGGTAAATAATGCACTTGACCCTCACATTCTGATAGATAGATAAACAGATAGATAGATAAATAGATGGGTGAAAATTCCATTTAGTGTCTTAAGTCAACTGAGAATCCCTTGAGACAACTATACCCCGTGCTCTCAGAACAGGCTCAAGTTGTCCTTAAAAAAATACAGTCCAAGCAGCAGTTGGTTAAGGAAATGAGGAGGGGTCTCAGTCTGGACCTGTTCCAGAACTCCATGTGACCGACCACAGGCCCAAGGCACTTCCCTGCGTGGCTGCATGAGGGACAGGAATCCAGAGGCACCAGCTCCTCCTGTGGTCAGGCAGGATCAAGAAGCTCTCAGGAACTGGTGCTTCTCAATCATTCAGTTCCTCCCAGCTCTATCACTGGGCTACAGTCTCTATTCTTATCACTATCTCTATGCCTGTCTCTAAGGAAAACTCACAATTACATAGCACTTAACTAAGCAAGATAGAGATAGTAGTGGAGAAAGAAGAATAAGTAAACTGAAATGTGTAATGATTTAAATATAATAAAATGACAACAGAAAACTTTCCAAGGAAAGTCTCAAAAGGACCATGAACCCCTCTTATATGGACCAAATTATGGATGTATATTTTCAGCCTGTAATCCCACCTGTTATCTCAGGATGTTTCAGGAGAATCAGGAGTCCATATCTCAGGGTGGTGCTGGTTGTCTCTGTTCCTGCTGCAAGTAGATCAGCTACTGTGTGGACCAAGTTTTCAATGGTAAATTCAGACTGTGGTTGTTGCTCTTCCTAGGAATAATTTGGTATGATTAGTTCAAAAATAAGGGAGGCAGCAGGGCAAAATGGGAAGCACGATGGATTTGGAGGCAGAGGACCTTGGTTTGAATCTCAGTTCTGATTTTTTTTTTTATTTTTGGAGAGAGGCAATCAGGGTTAAGTGATTTGGCCAGAGTCACACAGCTGGCAAGAGTCTGAGACCAGATTTGAACTCAGATCCTCCTGACTTCTGGGCCAGTGCTCTATCTACTGTGACACCTAGCTGCCCTCAACCCACCATGAGCTGTGATCCTGACCTAGGGAAAGTCATTTAACATTTTTACGTTTCATTTTCCTCATCTGTAAAATGAGGGGATTGGATTCAATGACCTCCAAGATCCCTTGCAGTTTGAAATCTATGATCCAATAAATAAATTAAATTTGAGCAACACAATCCAAAGTGGAAGAAGAAGCTGGTAATTATCAAGGCAGTTTGGCCATTACAGGTATTACAAACAGAGAAACAGAGAGAAGAAAGAAAGAGAGAGGGGGGCGGAGAGAGAGAGAGAGAGAGAGAGAGAGAGAGAGAGAGAGAGAGAGACTGGACATGCAATTTCATTGGCACAGGGAAATTTCCAGGTGAAAAACTTCTGTCTGCCAATGTAAATCTGCACTTTCTTTGAAAAACTTAAAGTCACAAGAGAGGTGCCTAGCCCTAGGGCTCTCTAGGGTTAAGTGATTTGCCCAGGATCACATAGACATTTTGTGTCAGAGAGGGGACTTGAACTCAGTTTTGCCTGGTTCTGAGGCCAGCTGTTTACCTACTACATGGGTGGGGGGGGTCAAACTCTCAGCCCTCAGGCCACAAGCAACCAACAAAACTGTATGTGGCTAAAACCAGATTAAAATGTAATTGGGAAATGCTTAGTAAAATAAATAAAGATACAATACAACATAGAGAATGTTAATTTGTGGATTCTCTAAGTTAATATGAGGTCTACCAGGATCCCATTCTATTCATGTTTGACACAACTGTACTGTATCATGTTATCTTTCAAGATATCTATACCTATATAGTATATAGCAATCATATCTGTAGATATACACAAGCATCTAGGTGGTACAGTGGGTTGAGTGCTGGACCTAGAGTCAGGAAGACACATCTTCCTGCATTCAAATCTGGCCTCAGACACTTAGTGGGTATGTGACCCTGGACAAGTCACTTAACCCTGTTTGCCTGAATTTCCTCATCTGTAAAGTGAGTTGGAGAAGGAAATGAAAAACCAGGAAAACCCAAAACGGAGTCATGAAGAGCTGGACTCCACTGAAATGTCTAAGCAACAAATACATGAGCACTCTAAATGTAAGCTATTGTACTTTCTTCCTGATTTACTAAGCTAATAAATCCTGTTCCTCTGTATGAGTTTAGTGAGATAAACAGCATTGACTAGTTCAGCAAATGAGGAAGGAAAAAATTGACCAACTTACATATATATATACATATATATATATATCAACACAAAAAAATCCACATATATTTTCCCATTTTATCCTCATCAAAATACTGTGATATAGGTAGTGCAATATTATCCTCATTTTACAATTGAGGAAATTGAGACACTAAATGCTTTGCCCTTGACTGTGAGATGTTGGCATTGAGGAAAAGTCACCACTGAGATCAGAAATTGAATATATAACAAATACTGTATGGACTAAAGATAAGAAAGGTAAAAACATAGGAAAAGCAGGGAGATGGTAGAGGACATAATTCAAGGTCAAGTCAACTCTATACAACCATGTGAGTGATGAGAGGTAAAAAGGATATGGCATTATTAAGATTCTCACACATGAAACAAATAGCATTGCAAGAGACTATTGTACAATATAGTTGTAAAAATCTCTTGCTCTGGTCCACACATGTTTGCCCTCTCCTACATTTCCTCATTCACCAATGGGGTAGGAATCTGTGGGAGAAAATACTCTTATGTGCATAGGTTGATGAAGTAAGGATTTTCCTGGTCAGTTATGTTGTCACATTGCTAAATTAAATGTGTTTTGCTTTGAATTAATGTGTTTTCTGGTTGGTCTGGTAAGAAAACTATGGGTGGTGACCTCAGATTACACTTCATTCTTTTAAGTGGGTCACAGATCCATTTCAAGATGTCCATCAGCATATCTTTTACCTTCTCCCATGTGTCTGGTACTTCCAGGGCTTCACTTACTCCACATGAATTACATTAGCATATTGCTTTGTTCTGGTTTTATTCCTAATTTGGTTTTTTTCTTTATGTAACTTTTTAACCATTTTTCTTCCCCTTGGTTTTGCTCTTTGTTTGTTGTGGAGGGATGTAAAATGAGGAGCCTCTGACTACACTATCTTGACCATAAAACCCACGATCCTCAGCCCAAGTACTTACCACAGAAGCCCCTCCATCCAATCAGGCTGCTTAGATTAAACTTCTCTATACCTCACTGTCTTTGCAGAGTCCTGAGATGTCCTGCCAAGTCTTCACTGCCTAGCTCTAGGACCTTCTTCAAGACCCAGATCAAAATCTAACTCTTCCAGAAGGAAGTCTTATGTTAACCCTCTCCAAATATCATATTTCTGACTAATTCTAAATTCTTTCATCACTTAAATGTTCAATTTATAATCTATTTTGGCTTCCCTTACACAATACTGATAATTATTCCCTTGTCCTTACATGCATTTCCTTCTGTGTGTTGGGTTACAAATTCCATTAGGGCTAGAACCCAATCTTCTCATTCTTCTGTTTGCCCCATAGTGTGCTGTGAGCACACTACCATTGATACATGAATATTTACTGCTCTGTGTTTGTGAATGTGTCAGCATCTAATAAACAAACCATTTCATGTACAAGAACTGAGATTCAGACCTACTGCTCACACTCTACCTGCTGCATTTTCGTCAGGAAACAGTCAATGAAGTCCCGAGGATTGCTGGGGTCCAGTGTCCTTTGGTGTTCCCTCACTTCTTCCAAAATAAATTCATGTTGTAAATGAACATTTTTAACTGCTTTGTGATGAGATCCAGGGAGATAACGTACTAGAGATGGAAAAGAATTGTAGACCTAAAAAGAAGAATTTTATATCATACTTTATTAGAAAAAAAAAGTACTTCTCTACTCTAGCACTTGGATCATGTTGAGAAGAGGGCTGAATAAGGGTGGGACAAATGCCTTTTGCAAAATAGTGACTTTTCTCATCATTTCCTATACAAACCCCCTAAAAATTAGTATTCTCCTCCTTGGTTGCCTGAGACTATGTTGGCCTTCACTCTCAATTCTTACTTCCTTCAGAAAAGTTCTCATCCTTTCTCATTATGAGGTCTTCTAAGAACTCTGCCTGCAATCTTCCATTGGGACAGCTAACTCATCTGCTAACCTGATCCAAATTCAGGTGCTTGAGGGAAAAGTCAGCTTGTCTCTAGTAACATGAATTTTAACATTCAGTCCCTGTGACCAATGGGTGAGGGAGGGAAAGGTTTTCCCTTGGGAAAACCACTGTCGTCCTCTCCTTCAAATCACTTCTAGGACAATCTCTACAATTCTCATAGACAGGAAAAATCATTGTGGAGAAGGGGCCCATCTCTCACATTACAACTAGCAACAACTGATGACTAGGTAAGACCAATAGGTAGATAACTACAAGGGCCATAGGTGTGTCCAGGGCTTCACTTACTTAGAGAATCCCCTCCAGGGAGGGGCCTTATAATGTCCCTCAAATCAGAACACATAGGGATGACCTTCTCTGTCTTTATTCCCTGTCAATAAAAAAGAAAATGTAAACCCATTCTAGCATGGCACTGTTGAACCTCCCAATGGAATGCATGATGAATTCTACCTAGCTCCTTGCAGTAGTTGCTTTGAAGTAATTAAAAAAAATATTTCTCTCCAAAAGGAGAACACTGGCCTCACCTGAATCCATGGGGAACTTGCGATCTTGATGTTTTCAACTAAAAGTTTCATTAAATATAGAAATTTCTGGTCTTCATATTCAAAACATTTCTGGAAAATGAAAGAGCAGATTACATTGCAAGGAGCACACCCAAGGATGAACATGGGGTCACATGGCAATCCTAAAGGAGAAAGAGAGAAAGACCTTAATACTGCCGTTGTGAACAAAAAGAAAGATTGCTTGCCTTTAAAAGGTAGGACCTGACTGTCCTCGTTTCCCCTCTAGTTTATATTCTAGCTGACATTTATTTGGCACAGCAAGGTGAAAAATAAACCACCCTTTATGAAGCATCTGGTTTGAGCTACATAAAAAACTTAAATGCAAATAGGATAATTCTGATTTTATAGATGATATTGCTGAGGTTCAAGAAAATTAGCTGATCTATGCTACAGTTAGGAAGGATCAAGAAGAGAAACTCAAACTTAATTCTCTCCTGGCACCAGACACCTTGTTCTTCCTACCATACCACATCAGTTCCCATTTCTAAATCCCTGTTCATCACATCACCCTAACCAGTTTTTTCTTTCACAAGTCTTCTTGTCTATCTTTAAATTATATTTCATTTATATTTTTTTATATTTTTTTAATTTTTTTAGGCAATTGGGGGTTAAGTGACTTGTCCAGGGTCACACAGCTAGTAAAGACCAAGTGTTTGGTCTGAGGCCGGATTTGAACTCAGGTCTTCCGACTTTAGGGCTGGAGCTCTATCCACTGTGCCACCTAGCTGCCCCCTAAATTGTATTTCATTCAGTAATCCCAGGATGGGGGTTGCAGGTACTGACCTGGAAGCCTTTCTATTCCAAATGCTCTTAGGTTCAGGGTCCTGGACTGTAGGAGTCATGATGTCAAGGTCGTGATGCTAGGTTTCCTTGACTGGTATGTATTGCCTCTTGTCTCTCCCTCAGGATGCTCCACTGCTTTAGCCAGGCTGGTCCATCTGCCTTATGGACAGCAATTTGCCGGGAATTGCATGGCAACTGGTGGTGACGGCCAGACCCTTCTCCACAGGAATGGCTTTCCAGATGAGAGCTGTGAGGGCTGAACTAGAAACAATTGTCTAAACATTGCTGACACACCTATGGCCCTTGTAGTTATCTACCTATTGGTCTTACCTAGTCATCAGTTGTTGCTAGTTGTAATGTGAGAGATGGGCCCCTTCTCCACAATGATTTTTCCTGTCTATGAGAATTGTAGAGATTGTCCTAGAAGTGATTTGAAGGAGAGGACGACAGTGGTTTTCCCAAGGTTTGGGGCCAAGGGCCTGGGCTGTCTCCATCAGAGTAAGAGGGAAGATGATCATCAAGGTGGAGGTGGTTTGACCAGCCTGGATCATTCAGGTGTTCCCCCTCACCAAACTATTCTGCATTCATTTTGTTAATATTTTTCAATATATGTAGCTTAGCATCAGTGGGAACAGTTGCTAGGCTGTATCACCACAAGTGAGAGACTCTGGACACTGTTCCATAAGTCCTGGGCTGTCTCCATCAGGGTCACTTTTCATTATTTTGTGCAAATTTACCCATGTTTTTCTAAGATCATTGAGCTCATCATTTCTTATACATTGGTAGCATTCCATCACAATCATATCTATCACAACTTCATCAGCTATTCCCCAATAGATGGGAATCCCTCCAATTTACACTTCCTGACCACCACAGAGAGAGCTGCTATGAATATTTTAGAGTATGTAGGTTTCTTTTCTTTTTCTCTAATCGCCTTTGGAAATAGACCTGGTAGTAGTATTGCTGAGTCAAAGGATATAGGCAGTTTAATAACTCTTTGGGCATAACATCTGATCTTACTGGGAAGGCTTCTAGCTTACCTCCATAACAAATAATGTTTGAAAGTGGTTTTGCATAAGTGTTTTTTATCAATTTAGGGGAAAATCCATTTATACATATGCTTTCAAGGTTTTTTTTAGAAATGAGTGTTGTCCTTTACAAAAAAAATTTTCTGTATCTATTGATATAATCATATATTCTTTTTTTTACTTTTACTATTGATGTAATCAATCATGTCAATAGTTTTCCTTATGTTAAACCATCCCTGCATTCTTGGTATAAATCCCACTTGGTCACAATGTATAATCTTTGTGATATATTGTTGTAACAGTTCAGCTACTATTACATTTAGGATTTTTTCATCTATATTCATTAGGGAAATAGATTATAGTTTTTTTCTCTGGTTTTGGTCTTCCTGGTTTAAGTATCAGTATCATATTTGTTTCATAAAAGAAGTTTGGTAGGATTCCTTCTTTGCCTATTGTTTCAAATAATTTACTAAATATTGAAATTAGTTGATCTTTAAATATTAATACAATTCACTTGTAAATCCATTTGGTCTTGGTGCTTTTTGTTCCTTAGGAAGCTCTTTCGTGGGCTGTCCAATTTCTTTTTGTAAAAAAAGATGTATTTCCTCTTTTGCTAATCTGGGCAATTTATATTTTTGTAAATATTCTTTCATTTCACTTAATTTGTTAAATTTATTGGCATAAAATTGGATAAAATAACTCCTCATAATTGCCTTAGATTCATCCTCATTTAGTGGTATATTTACCCTTTTCATTTTTAATGCTACTGATTTTAATGCTAGTGATTTTCTTCATTCTTTAAATCAAATTAACCAATGGTTTATCTATTTTATTGATTTTTTTTTCATAAAACCAACTCATAGTTTGATTTATTAATTCAATGGATTCTCTTACATTAAATTTTATTAATCTCACCTTTAATTTTTGTGATTTCTAATTGAGTGTTTAATTGGGGATTTTGAGTTTGGTCTTTTTTCTAGTTTTTTTTAACTGCATACTCAATACATTGGTCTGCTCTTTCTCTATTTTATTGATGTAAGCTTTTATAAATATAAATCTTCCTCTGATCACTGCTTTTATTATGTCCCATTGGTTTTGATATACTATCTCATTATTGTTATTCTCTTTAATGAAATTTTTTATTATTTCCATGACTTGTGCTTTAACCCACTCATTTTTTAAGATTAGGTTGCTTAATCTCCAACTAAGAATACACAACATAAGATGGGTATATAAATCATTCTTAAATTGTGAGGTATAGATTATAAGTGCTAAAGAGGTCACAGGGATAAGGCATCTAAATTGTGATGTGAAAGGTGGGTAGGATTTCAATTATTGTAGTTGAAGAGAAGAGAAGATATATTTCAGGAACAGGGAATTTCTGGGGAACAGGGAATTGGGGAAAATTAACTCATGATTTTGGCAAAAGCCAAAGGGAGTATTAGATTATACTAGAAAGGTATATTGGGCTGAGATCATAGAGGTCTTTCATTGCTAGGCAATGGAATAAATACAGCTTGTTCATAGCACATGAAAAGTCTTTAGGGCAGTTGGAACCAGGGATGGTCCTTCACATGTTTTAGGAAGGTAGAAAGCAGAGTTCATAGGAGGGAGGTGGTTTGCCAAACCCACTGGCAATCGGGGTGTTGTCAATATCTTTTGGGTCAATGGGAAATTTCAAGGTAAAATTCTGTAAGATGGTAGTAAAACAAAATAGAAATAATTCCATTCAAGCCAGGCCCTCGCCAGCACATATCCGTTTTCCTGAAAGAGACAAATATAAGGATTAGATATTCGTAGACTTCTAACTCATTTAGACCACTTCTTTGGACTTATAGGTGACCCACTAACACCCAGGGGCATTAGGTGGAAGACTGTATGCATTCCTTTCCTCTCTGGTCCTTGACTCCTTTGAAGAGCCAGTTGCCCCTCAACAGAGAGGGAAGACCCCTCCTGTATACTCTCTCTAAATCAATCCCCCTGAACCAGAGCAAGTCCTGGGATTTATATTCAGAGGAAAGCAGGCATTGCTTTAGGGAGAAAATAATCACTCATTTATAAGCTCAAGAACTAAGCTTATGTCTACCCAGAGAGACTGCACTGGGGAAAGGTGACAGAAGAATGATCAAAGTTCCGTTTGGGAACCTCCTGTCACCATTCTGGAAAGAAAACACTTCACGGCCTGCAACTTCATGGCCATCTAGCCACTTGTCTTAACTGCTCACTTCTAGCCCTAACCCAAGTATTAGAACCAATTGAGCACAGCAAGGCATTGGAGACCACAATGTCAGTGTTAGCTGTCTGACAACATTCATGTCTGCCAGAATTAGACATGGCTATCACCACCATTACCTGATAACTAATAGGTTCCCCCAAGAATTGAAGGGGAAAGGACAAGTCAGGCCATCATTTATTTAATTTTATACCAATTGATCCCTATTAAAATGTACATAACTAGGAAAGGGCGTTCCATATTCACATGTCCTAGTAAGGAGTCACATTTCTATAAAATCATAAACCCTAAGATTATATCTTTGGTGACCTTAGCCATAATGGTACCTGAGTAATGAGCCTTTAACATTACCTAATCCCCTTTCTTTGCTTGATAAAGTACAAGATTGTACCATGCTAACATAAAAGCCTGGAAGACATTATCTGAGAAGTAGCTCCAGGTTAAGAGTGACTGGGAGGATAATTTTTAATGTAGGGGGTTAAGGGGACTTTAGTTGTGGGTCTGAATACAGAGCAGAGTGGCCACTATCTCAGTTCTATCTCTTTTTTGGAATAAGCTCAGACAACTACCCTGAAACCCAACTGATTTAGTTGATGAACCATGACCTAAGGAGAATTAGAAGAATGATGTACTAGGAAGGGCAGCTAGGTGGCATAGTTGATAGAGCTCTGCCCTTGGAGTCAGGAGGACATGAATTCAAATCCAGCCTCAGACACTTGACACTTACTAGCTCTGTGACCCTGGGCAAGTCAATTAACTTGACTGCCTCACCAAAAAGAAAAAAAAATAAATGATGTATTATGTCTCCATCTTACTTTCTGGTTTTAGAACTTAGTAGGGGGCAGGTAGGTGGCACAGTGAATAGAGCACCGGCCCTGTAGTCAGAAGGACTTGAATTCAAGTCAAGCCTCAGACTCATAACACTCACTAGCTGTGTGATTCTGGGCAAGTCACTTAATCCCAATTTCCCTCACCAAAAAAACAAAACAAACAAAAAAAAAAAAACTTGGTAGGACCATAGTGGTCACCTAATCCAACACAATCTTTTGGCATACAAATAAACTGAAGTCCAGAGAAATGAAATAATTTGACCAACGTCACACAGGTAATAAGTAGCAAAGCTGGATTGAAACACAGGTCCTCTAAGTTATCAATCCATCTTTGATGCACATATTTAGATAATTGTCTTACCTGCTGAAAAAGGCATGAAATAGTCGCTCTTCTTCAAGTTGCCACTTTCATCCAGGAAGTGACCGGGGTCAAACTGGTCTGGATAGGGGAGCTCTTCATCATCATACAGAACAGAAGATAAAAATGGTACTATGGTGGTGCTCTGAAATGAGCAGATATTTTGAACTCCTCTGAAAAATATATTTAGAATAAAATATATAGGATATATTGGGAGAGATGGAAAATTAGCAAGAAAGAAGTCAAGTAGATGAAGAGAATTTTAGAAAAGTTAGGTATGATAGACCTCTGGAGAAAACAGAATGGAGATAGAAAGGAATATACCTCTTTCTCAGGTGTACATGGTGCCTTTATAAAAATTGACTATTTATTAAGACATAAAAACCTCACAACCAAATGCATAAAAGGAGAAATATTAAATTAATCCCATTCAGATCATAAGGCAATAAAAATTAGATTCAGAAAAGGACCATGGAAATATAGATTAAAGATTTATTGGAAACTAAACAATATAATTCTTTTTTTCTTTTCCTTTTTTATTTATTTATTTATTCATTAATCTATTTTTTTAGTTTTCAACATTCACTTCCACAAGATTTTGAGTTCCAAATTTTCTCCCCATCTCATCTCTCCCC